GAGACTGGGCATTGCACCGGAAGATAACTAAAACTCGCATTGAAACTAAAACAATGGACACACTGAGACTGAGACTGAAACTAACGTTAAGGAGCAAACAGAGTCTAAAAGAACCAAAGCTTTGGTCGAGACTGAATTGACGGCTGTGACGGAGACTGGGACTTCGTCTAAAAACGAAATATAGCCTCAAGCAGAGATCTATTAGTAAGATTAAGATCTAACGAACCTAAGCCGAAACTAAGCCAGCAGTGTTATCTATACCGAGTCTGATGTTCTGGAGACGATCTAGCCAGATATAGAGCTTGAGACTATATTCGATGTTGATATTGAGCACTGCAGACTGACATAAGTATGGATTTTGGTTATTATGCCACATTCTGGGCCTAGGACTTTGACATAGTTCACTGTAAAACTGGTATCAGAAGCAAAATTCGTTTCAAAACATTTACAAATATACCTAAATCATAAAAAGGATACTAATTTAATTTTATAGTCCCCGTTTTTTGCTATGTACGCTTGCCTAGAGTCATCAAGCCGATTTAGTTATTTGTCCTTAAGACAGTCGCTCATTTGGTAAGACTATTTATGTTGCTTCCGTGGCAATGCGATGGATTCATTTGTGAACACAAAAACAGCCAGAACCAGCGCCGCAGGCGAGCTCCATCACTACGCTCTCACACATTAAAAAGGAGAAGCTCAGGGCTATCAAGCTAGCCAAAGATAGACACACATTTTCTTGCGCAAATAAATAGCACAAAGTGATGCGAAAAGTTACACAAATTTGTATGTTGTTTAAAGAATATTTTTTATGCTGTTTGAACTTTGAAAAGTGCCAGCGCACAGACAGCACCGCAGCACCGCAGCGAGGCAGCACAGAGGCGCTCTGGGGTTCGGGCAAAACAGAAAATGAATCACTTGACATGCACATGTCACACAAACATACACACACAGACAGTCGCATACATAGAAAAGAAATCGAGCGACCCACTTCAAGCAGCGTGAGCTGGAAATATGCATGAGTGTATATATGTATGTGTGTGTGTGTGCAAGAGCCCGTTGCTTGCGTCCTCACATCAAATATGTATGGGTGTAGTTAGCATGGAGCGCCGTGACCCCTCACAGTGCTGGCGCAAAGTAAACGGAAAATTTTGAACAACAATCACTAACATATGCAGATCCCCAATGGAGCTGTAGATTCAAGAAGCGAAACAGCAAACAAGTAACGATGCCGACGTGTGAAGACATTCACAAACAAAAACAGCCAACAACCACTGTGATGGCAAGTGTCTGACTAAACCAAACATCTATGCCCATAATAATAACATGGCATGAAAGCTGCCCCAGCGTCGGTTGTTAATACGGGACAGTTGGTGGGGTTGAACGTGCCGCTATTTTCTACTTTGCCAGCTGAGTTGGTTGGCTACCTGGCAGCGCCGCAATTTAACCACATCAGCGCAATTTTTTGGCATAATTTCATATGCAGCAACAAATCGGGCGCTGGCAGGCAGGAAGCCGGCAAACACATGCATGCGCCACACACACACACATGCGCATGTATATAAGCATTTGCACAACCGCAGTCACCGCAGTTGGCGTAGCTGCTGAGTGGCGATGTGGGCGTGAGCAGCACTATCGTGCGGCACTATCGTCTTAACCGCAAACACACACGTTCGCATAATAATTTTCATGTGTATGCGTGTGTGTGTGTGTTATATATATTTCATGCATTCGCATATCCATTCATGCCTGCCCATATCGCACTCGCCCCATCCGCTATTTGCCGCTTATCCGGCGATCCAACGAAAATTTATAGTTTCACGCTTTCAACATCATCAACTCGCCGGGCGCGCTGGTACGACGTAGCGTATGAGTGCTTTGGCACTAGCAAGTGCAAATACAGGCGCAAACAAACAAGCAAACTCACAGCCACATATGCATGTATGTGTGTAGATATGTGCAATGCTGTACATGTAAATATGTTGTTGTTGCATATGTATTTGGCGCTGTGGTATCTTGCCGCAAATCACCCACTAAGCAGATGTAAATGAATTCTTTGCTGGATTTCTTGGCCGCAAAGCGCTCCACTGACGCGGCAACTATGCGCTGTGGCATGCCGCACGCCGCATGTCCCCTCGTCTTTGGCACTGCCAAACACTAAACTAGCGTTAGTGCAATGCCACCACAAGTTTTGTGTTATGATTTTCATCTCTTCATGAATTTTACATGCTTTCATAGCGCACACAGTTATGCTTAACATTATGCTACAAATACCATATATGTACATATGTAAATGCACTAGAGTAAAACAAAATATTCACACATACTTATTTGTGTGCAACGAAAGTTATATAATTATTCTTACATATGTTTGTTTGTTGCATGCAACAACACTGCTTAACGCCAACGCCAAACATGTGTTGCAATGAAAATATCAGCTCAGCGCAACTCCTTATGGACGCTGCCGTATTCAAAGCTCTGTTTATTTATTTTCCCCAATCTGCGTGTGTGTGTGCGCGTGTATGTTGCATTATAATGTATTGCAAATATGAATACCGTAGCGCAAGAAAACCAGTAGCGATACGAAATCGTTAAAAAACATGCCGCAAGGCAGCCGATGCGGTTGCTACTCAAGCGAGTGTGAAGCTCTGCGTGGGTGGGGAGAAAGAATCTATGGAGTAATAGATTAATACTAGAATGTTGCACGCTGCCTGGACATGTGCTCCACTGGACGAGCGCTTTACAGCTGTTGCTGTTGCTTTCAATTGCACGTTGCGGTGGAATGCGCCAATTTAGATGGAATAAATAATGAAATTGGTAAGAGCAGCTGCAACAACAACAAACAGGAAAATCAGTTTTGCTTATTTAGTCGAATTTTTAAGTAGCCAATTGAGCTATCTTCGGAAGAAGTGAGGGATGTGAATAGATTGTCAAAAGAAAATGGGTGTTGTTGTGCGGAAAGAGACAGGCAAATAGCAAGTGAGTAGATAGATAGTAGATAATCAGAATTAAATTAAAATATAATAAAATAAAATTTAAAAAAATAAAGTATAAACAACTAAAATAAAGGACAATAAAATAAAATAAATAAATACAAGAGAAAATAAAATAAAATTAAAAAATTAAAATAAAATTAAATGAAATAATATAAAATAAAGTAAAAAAAAGCAAATAAAATAAAAAAATTAAAATTAAATAAAACAAAATTAAATAGAAAAATAGAAAAAACAGAAAAGAAAGGAAATGGAAAGAAAAGAAATGGAAAGAAAAGAAAATGAAAGAAAATAAAGGAAAATAAAATAAAAAAATAATAATAAAATAAAATTAAAATTAAAATTAAATAAAAGAAAATTAAAGAAAAGAAACGAAAAGAAAAGAAATAATAAAGAAAAGAAAATAAATTGAAAAAAAGAAAAGGAAATAATATAAAATAAAAATAAGAAAACGACAAACAAATAAAATAAAAGAAAATAGCAAGTGAGTAGATAAATAGTAGATAATCAGAAATAAAATAAAATAAAGAAAAACAAAATAAAATAAGAGAAAATAAAAGAAAATTAAATAAAATAAAGGACAATAAAATTAAATTAAACTAAAATAAGAAACGACAAGAAAATAAAATAAAAGAAAATAAATTATATTCTAATAAAAAAAATAAAATGAAATAAAATAATATAAAATTAAATTAATATAAATAAAATTAAATTAAATTAAATGAAACAAAATTTATTACAGAATTATTTAAAGTTAAGTTTAGAAACATTTTTCAGAAATTAGACTGAATTTTTGTCTGCGTCATAGGTACATAAGTTCTACTTCTTAAGAGGCCACATGTTTTTCACGGCTTTAAAAAAATTTATTTTATTTAATTCTTTAACATCTCTAGGAAGTTCTTAAGTTGATCAGAGCAATAGTTTGCGTAAAATCTGTTGTCAAAATTTCTCACAATGATCTTCGTATTACAATTGACACTATTTTGAACGAAGTTTTTTTCTTTTTGTTTGACTCAATTACAACTATTTAAAAAATAAAAACTCTAGAAATTTTCACCAAAATTTAAATTTTTTATTAAAAACGTCTGCCAAAAAATACAAATTTCACTTTATTTGGTTTTTCTCCGTCCAATACCTAGTTAATGGCCTTAGTTCAAACACGTATTTTTTTCTTTTTAACTATTGATGATCCTGTCAGAAGTTCTGCTAAAAACGCGGAAACTTCTTTTTTCCGAGATACTGCCGGAAATGACGTCGTAATGACCGAGGTTTGAATATTTTTCTTTCAAAATTTCACAAAATTTTAATAAAATATTTAATTTTATATAAGAAAAAAAGTACTTATAATAGGCCTTAAATTTATGACGTCACCAACTATTGTGTTCTTTTGGCAAACGCATTCGAATTAAGAAAAAATGTTAACTTCGGCTGCACCGACATATAACAACATTCGTCGGTGAAATAACAGCCGAGAGGTCCAATATTCATCCATTTTTTGTTATGTCCGCAATAACGCGCCGAATATTCTCCACCAAGCCGTAAATCTTATCGGGCTTATCTACATAGACAAGCGACTTTACATTACCTCACAAAAAATAGTCTCGGGGTGTTAAATCGCACGATATTGAAGGCCACGGCACAGGCCCTCGTGGGATATATGGTAAGACTAAAAGTTTACTTCAATAATTTGGTTCTTTCATTGGATATATGGCATGCAGCGCCGTTTGTTTGGAACCAAAGGAAATCCATATATATAGCGTTCCTCATTGCCTGTCACATAAGGTCTGCACCGAACGTGCGACGCGCAGCATTTGGTCGTCCGGCTTCAATTCTTGCACGAGTTGGATTTTTTAAGCCCGCACTCCAATATTGTTCCGCAAATTCTTCCATAAAGTGATTGCGTACAGCTCCAATTGTTACGCGCGATGACGGATGGACTAATTCGGATTTTTTTCGCATTAAGGTGAGTTGTAAATCTGCATTTAAATCAAAGAGAAATAGCCGGAAGACTTATGTGTAATAAAAATTTATTATTATTGAAGATTTAATTTAATAGCAAGTCTTTAAGCTGACCATAGGCCAGTACGATCAGCAACACTGTCGTAATCGACACTAGAGATGAAATTTACGATTCCAGCTTCACCAACTTTATATCTTACACGAACAGAGTTACCGAAACTTGTCGCTAGTATGACCTTAATTAGCGCTGTCTACATTTATAGAGTACGTAAATTATAAATAAAATAAAAGATTGTTATATCAGCGATTTTTCGCTTTTTAAACGAACGAAATTAACTTACTCTCATTGACACTGACCTGTTCGGCAACCGTGTGTGTTGTCAATCATTGTTTCGCAAACTCTAACCCATGAAGAAACGTTAAGATTTGAAAAGACAAAAGCAGCAATCAGCTCCACAACATATTTGATGAGGGGTTAGCACATAAACATACACACGCCCTTACATTGCACTGCTACAATTTTCCGTCTTTAGGCGTCCACTTAACAACAGTCGCTTACAGAGCCTGTCCCTGCCTTCGAAGCTTAACGAGTCCATTGACCATTTTATGTCAATTGTTGTTAATTTTACCATTAATTTTTTCCATTTTCCTTCAGTTATTTTTCATTTTTTATCTTTCGTTTGATTGCATTTATTTTCTTTGAGGCCGCCTTCATGAATTTTATTGCCTTATTTATTGCTTTATGTTCGTTACGTGGGCAGCAAAACTGCTTCTTGTCGCCGTGCCTTTACGCACAGCTGTAAGCGCAATTGTTCGTAAGTGTGTGTGTGTGTGTGTGTTATTGGACTTACTTTGTGATTACATTATTAATATCTTCTTTTTTTTTCAAGCAAATAAACAAGCGTGTGTGTGCGTAAGTATGTCGGCAACGCTTTTCATTCGCTTCTGCGATTAGCTCAAGTGGCTGACAGTTAAATCAGTCAAGCATCGCGACATTTACAAATATAGAATACAAGAGTTAATCAGTGACGTATTTACTTAGTTGAGAGATAAAACAGATTAAATTGTGTAGCGGTAAAGCTGACAACCGCGCGTTATGCGACGACGCGTTGTCGGATTGACGGCGAAGGAAGTTACTTGATGATAACTCTCAAGTGAATGAGCGTTACAGTTCGCTGCAGACCTACTTATATATATGTATATATTGTGTAAGTATTTACAAGATCATGTTGATTTTAAATTTGTTCAATTGTTCGCGTGTTTGTTGTGAGCAGTTTAAAAAAAAAACGCAATAACTGTTGTGTTTATCATTTTTCTTCCCAGCTCTCACGGTCATCAGCAACCTATAAATAGTGTTTATTTATATTTGCTTATAAATATTTGCATGCATAAATTAATTAACACACACATACACCAATGTAAGTGAGTACAGTCTGTTTTTATCACAGCAACGAAATTGACCGCGAAGTTCATCAATATTTTTGCTCGTTTATAAGCACGTCGTATACATAAGCGCATACATACATATGTGCACATATACTTATGTATATACATGCACACGTATTTATACAGAGGCTAATGCGTTAAACTAAAGTCAACGAGCTACACCCACATCAGCGCTAACGTGTTGTAGTAGAAAATCGATTTTTATTATAGCAACTGCAGCTGACCTACGTCAACAACGCACTCACTTACTAGAACCGAGAAAGAAAGTGCCAAAATTATCAATATGTAATATAGCTGATTTATTAGATGTTTACCAGTAAGTATGGTGTACAAATATATTGGCAAGCTGAGCTAAAATTTTGCATTTGTTGACTGTAAGCTGCTCAGCGACATCTCTTTTGTGCCCTGTACCTCTACTATATTTGCAAAAGTTTCAGGTTTTTGTTACGAGTCTATCATCGACATGCTTCATATCCAAAACAACTAAACTACAATAAAATGTATTGAGTCGATCTAGAAGAGATGTTAAGTTCCGCTGTCATCTCACTGATGCCAACAAAACGATTTTCAAAGACTATTTCTTTAAATTTTCGATGTTACCGTTATCAATAGCGTGGTAGGTGAACGACACGCATGTGGCAAGTTTTCGTTGGCTTGACCACCTTCACAAAATGCTTTGTGCCACTTAAATAGTTATGCTTGCAATAAAATAGACTTTAAACAACACTACTGCAACATTTTCAACTATTCCATAGCGAAAATTTTAAATTCCGCGTAGTGTGACTGGGTTCCGAACAATTCGGACTACTGACAGCTCTTAATATAACGAACATAGCACTCGCTCAGCATACTCTGCACACTCGTATTTCCTAAAACCCTAAATCTTTAATAAAATTTTATGAGCATTTAAAATAAATTTTTATTTCTGTGTACTTTTCTTTGTATGCCTTTCACAGTCTATTTGCAGCGTTCACAAGTTTAATTGATTAAAATAGTTTTTTATGCGATTTAAATTAAATTTTATTTGCTACTGCCTTAATTTATGAGCCCGCGTTGTATGAGTGTAGTCTATTAGTGTGGTTCAGCAAATCGAGAGTTCAACTGAGTGCATGAAAATTATATACGCGTAGATATTCTGATTGTATACGAGACCTTTATTGACGAGCAATGTGCTGGAAATTGCTTAACTTAAGCAAAAGAACACATTTTGCAATCTAAAATTTATTCGTGTTTTAATGCGTAGTTTTGCAAAATTTCTTTTGTATATTTTTAAATACTTTTTTTTTTTTGAAAATTTTAATTCAATTTCAATATTTGTCATATATTTTATCACAGCTACATATGTCATGCAGTTTGACAATATTTTTAGATCGAAATTATACCTTTTTAAAGTTTTCCAATACATATCTTATATGTCAAATGTACCCAAACGTCATAATTTTTGTTCTAGTTCGAAACTAGTTTGTTGTATGCTGAAAAAATTATTGAAACAAAAATTTATGTAATGCTACTCCTAAAATACATCTGTGTACATTTACCATTTCAGTTACCTAAACTGCACGCATATCCACATATATTCTCATAAATATTACTTTTTTATACCCTTAACAGTATATATTATATAATATTAAGTTTACCATGAAGCTTGTAACAATCCGAAGGAAACATCGGTGAACCTATAAAATATAGTACACAAATGATCAGCATGATTAGCTGAGTCGATTTAAACACGTTGGTCTGTTTGTCCGTCTGCATATATGTACGCGAACTACAATAGTTCGCCAGTTTTTGAGATATCGACCTGAAATTTTACAAACGTGCTTTTTCACTAAGAAGCTACTCACTTGTCGGAACCGCCGATATTAGACCACTATAGCATAAAGCTGCCACACAAACCGAACGAACAAACTCAAGTAGTTGTATGGAAAAGGGAAAAACAATAGACCATAGGTCACCGTGCATACTTCTATCCATATCTATGGAAAAGTTTTGAATTTGACGAGTTATCTTCACAAAATTCGGCACAGTTTTACAGTAGATATGTGAGAAAATTGTTCAGAACGAACATACATATATTATATGCTGTCATACAAACTGATCGATCAAAATCAAGCGTTTGTGGAAACTTTTTTTTTCTGCGCCGTAATTGCTATTCGAATAACAGAGCAGTAAACTTGAGTGGCTTGTGCGATGTATTTGCATATGTTATTATTATATACATATATATACTTATTCTTCTTTATTCATACTTATTTCTAGCTCTGGAAACGTGTTGAAGTGTCATTCGTACAATTTGTTCTTCAAACTGTAAATCTCTCTATTAGCGCCTTTGCATATACAATATTTTCGCATATTTATTGACCTTAGCTTGAAAAGGACGTTGCCAAAACTTTTCGCTGCTTTCAACAATCCAGCTTCACTTTCGTATTTCCATTTTGTTTGCTTTTTATCAGTAAACTTTTGCTTTATTTTATTTCGTTTTTTCATAAATTTATTTATTTGTACAATGCTTTGCTTGTGTGTTGCCTAATATTCTATTGGAATTTTGGCACACTATAACCGGAAGCACACGCCTTACACACACACTCACACACACACCCACACACTCAGTGCAAATAATATTAGCAAATTCACTAATTGATAAGGTCGCCGTGGAGGCAACCAGCAAACAAAGTAAAAAATACGAAAATAGCAGAACATAAACCAATTTGCATAAACATATTCGTAAACAATTTGACTTAAGTGAATTTAGTTGTTGTTCAGTACTTTAGCATGCGCATTTGTTGTTGTCGCTATTTGCTGTGAGTATATTCATTTAGTATTGGTTGAAGTGTTTTCATGCTGTTATCAAATAAATTTATGCAAATAGTATAAAGCATTCGGTTCACGGCACTATTGCACACACATGCTAAGTCCAAAGTCCATTACTTCTGCACACGCTTTTTCCCTGGTGTACGAGCAATAGCATAATACTGGGTATTGCATTGAAAACTGATTGTATAAATAATTCTTTAGTATGATAATTGATTTGATCTGCTTATGGCTTTTAGGATTATTGCTGTTCCATATATCGCCAGCTTGTTGTTGCTTGCTGTTTTTTATACACTGAACAGGGTATATTCAGTTTGTCACGATGTTTGTAACACACAGTAGGAAATATCGGAGAAACTATAAAATCTGTCTGTATATACGCGAACTAGTCGCTCAGTTTTTGAGATATCGATTTGTAATTTTGCACACGTTCTTTTCTCCCCAAGAAGCTGCTTATATATCGAAAATACCGTTATCACACTACTATAGCATATAGCTGCCATACAAACTGAACGATTGAAATCAAGTTTTTGTAAGAAAAATTTTGCATTTGTGAAGGGTATTATTGCTTCGGTGCAGCCAAAGTTAACGTTGTTTCTTTTTTTTCTATTTTTGTTATTGAAAAGCAAAAAATGATTCAGTCGCATTAAATGTGCTGACAGTATATTAAGAGATAAACAACGGCGTTTTTGTTACGCAGAAAATTGGTTTAATTATTATATAAGTTGATAGCAGCAAATTTATCTATGTTTTGGGGCTAAAGATAATATCAATTATAGCCTAGTGCTTGCGTAAACCAACGGCGTTGAAAACAACAAAACAAACTTCACTATGCTTTTGACTTTAAATGTTGTATTACCAAAAACACTGGCCTCAGAAATTTCCTCACAACCTTAGGCAACTTCGCTCAGAACACAAACTACAAGTACAAGTAAAATGTAGCTTTATTTTCGCAGCTGAGCTATTACTAGTGTTGTTAAAAGCCGTTAGGTAAATTTAACCGAGTTGTGCGTTCTGTTGCCACTGGCTTAGAAAACAAAATTGATAAATTCAACTAGAATTGAGTGAAGTACAGAATTTTCCTTTTGAAATCTTACTTACGGTAATCAAACGCTGTAGTACACAAGTACAAGCAGTTTGTCGTACTTTATGTGCGCAGCAGATTTACAGACAAGGTTTGCTCTCTATTTAATTTGGAAATCTAACTTATGATATATTCTGTAACTGACACGTTACACTAATTAAATATGCGTTTCTCTTTTCCTTTACCTATTATAAAATAGCTTTAAGCTGAACGCACATTTTCAGCTGTAACACAAAACCGTTAGTAGTTTAGTGACTTGTTTACAAATAATTTCGAAGTCAAAATGTGAGCTACTATTTCAATTATCATACAACACATTTCTATCTATATTAAATAGCTGAAATGTTTATTCATAATGACATAATAAATGCGTTTTATTCAAGAAGAGTCTATATATTTACTATAATAGATATGTATACTTGTACATACATATATATAGCTAGGTAGGTAAGTGACTGTTCTCACCCAGAAATATTGAATCTACCAACATGATCCTAAATTGAAACAAGCACGTTAACAGCGTACTAAAGCTGGTTATTCAGCTCCAAAGCAGCTGAAGTCACAACGATCAGTAAAGAAGGTTATGGCTTCAGATTTTTGGGATGCAAAAGGAATTTTGATGATTGATTATCTGCAGAAAGGTGAAACAATCAACACTGAATATTAGACCAGCGTTTTGGATCAACTGGATGAACAAATTCGTAAAAAAAGACCTGGCTTGCAGCACAAAAAAATCATTCATCAAGACAATACAACCGCTGACAAAGGTGTATTAACAATGACAAATTTCAACGAATTGAAGTACGAATTGCTTGAGCATTTAGCGTATTTACCAGATTTGGCTCCCAGAGACTACTACATCTTCAGAAACCTGTAACAGTTTCTTCGTAGAAAGCGTTTCTCGTCGAAAAAAGTAGCTATTACAGCCCTAGATGGACAATTGGGAGAGCTAACAGAAAGTCATTTATGGTATGACATAAAATGATTGGAGGGTTATTGGAATAAGTGTATTGAAGTTAGGGCAGAATATATTGATTAAAAAAATATATTTCGTAACAAAAGCAGTATTTTTTTCATTCCGAGCGCAGTAACTTTTCAACCAAACTGTATATACAAATGTGTACTTGTATGAATTAAGCAGAGAATTCTTCGTATAATAAATAATTTAATTGGAGTCATCATATCATTAGTACAAGCCAAAATGCTACAAGCTATAATTATCTGCCTTATATATTTACTAAACGTCATTTTATATGCATACATATATATAAATACGAGACATATGGCTATGCACAGTTATTGTTATGAAATAATTTCATTAAATATTGATGTAGGAAATATTTGTGCTACGTGTGATATAAAATGCGACCCAAATAGTTATAATTTGAGCATGTAGGCTGTACCGATGTACGTAAGTTTTGAGGCGTTTAAGGAAGAAATCGTATTTATAGTATTATATTTACCGATGATATACACATTGAACTTATGTATCGGTTTAAGGTGCACGAAATAGTTGCTGTATATATAATTATTTAATTATACCAACAATATGGCAATTTTAGGTATACAGCTACTCAGACAGTTATTAAATGCAAATGACGGCTTATGTGAATTTGAAATTATAAAGTGACTTCATAACGCACGATAGTTGCATCAAACAATCCCGCTTTTAACGATGTAATCTCACTATTTTTGAAAATATAGCTATTTGTTGCCTCCTTGAGCCATTCACGATAATATTTTGCTAACTACTTGTTCTAAGTTAAATTATGTAACATTAGATGAGCCGACGCAACATATTCTAGTGTGAACGCCTAAACCGACTTTCTAAAGACAAAGTATTTCTGAGTTGGATTTCGTTTTTTTTTTTTGCTATTCAGATATAACTTGTGCTCAAATACTTATAGTTTTCAAATA